TCTAGAAACACAGAAAATGTATATTGAGGAGTGGAGAGACGAGAAAAAAGAAAATGAAAAACAGAGAAACAACAAAGAAACAGGAAAAAAATAAACCAAAAAAAATTATAATTATTATTTTTCTTTTTAAAGAATGCACAAATTAGAAATAACTACTTCGCAGGAGCCATGAGGAATATTCTCCTGAATGCCTACCTCTCGCCTCTCCTGCCTGGGTGGGAGGAACAGAGGAAATTATTAACAAGACAAAAGGTGGAGCTGAGAGCAAGAGAAAACTCCCTTTAAACATTTTTTTTTTAAATGGAAAAATTATAAAACAGAAAACAGAAGCAGGGTGAGACACAGACTGTGACAGAGATAGAAGGCTAGAGGAGCTCCCTACCACTCTAGCTTGTTTGCTGAGAAGAGAATGGATTGTGGCGTGGCCATCCCCCCTTGGGGGTGATTTCTCGCTTTCTGTCTCTGTTTGCCCGGTGTCTGTCTGGTGAGCACATGCACCTTATAGCTAAAACCTCTCAAAAAAAAAAAAATGAAGGCAGCATATAGGAAATATAAGACATTAAACAGTCAACTATTCATATAATGGGTATTCTGGAAAACGTATCTAGTACAAATATAGAAAAGTTCTGGGGCCAGCAGGTGGTGTGGTGGTTGAGGTGGTGGATTCCCACATGGCCGACCACGGTTCAAGTCCCGGACCTGGAGGCTTGCTTTCTCACTCCATTTCTCTCTGCCTGTCTCTCTCTAGTCAAAATTGAAGAATAATGATAATAAATATAATTAAAAATAAATCTTTCAAAAAATTTAAAAGTTCCTTCATAAAATACTATCTGAAGACTCTGGTCAAATTTTAAAATAATAATGGTAATAAAATTCAATAATTCTAAAACAATACAAATATAGACGATTTGATTTTGCTTCTGCCAAGCATGGGGAGAGGTGGGTCTTGGAAGACGTTAGTAGCAATTCTCTTCCGCACCACACTCTCTCTCCCCTAATGCCTGCTTCTTTCGGTGAGGTTCCTTGTGTCACCCTTCAGAATCACAACTGCCATAGCTACCTGGAGACATGTCAGAGACTCAGTGAGGCCACTGTCATTGCTGTGCCCATGAATGAAGGTAAAGGAGGTAAAAATAGATGCAGAGGTTAGAATAGGAATGAATCTGAAAAAGAGCTAGTGTTCAAAGAAGGACAAGATGGGCCACCAGGTTGCATGGTGGTTATGGTCCTGGATTCCTGCATGGCTAACAATGTTTCAAGTCCCAGATCTGGTGATTTGAAAATGATACCAGGCTCATGTGCATGGTAAAATCCTGAATGAATGGTGGAGAAAAACTGGGTGGTAATTTCTCACTTTCCCTCTGTGTCTTTCTGCCTCTCCAGCAAGTGCACATGCCCTGTGGCCAAAACTCAAGCAAAACCAAAAAAAAAAAAAAAAAAAAAAAGATGGGGAGATGGGCAGGAATGTACTCAGGTAATGAAAAGCTTGGGAAACAGATGATTAGAAGTGATGTGTTTTGATGGTGTAAAGAGGATATATCACCTCAGGGAACCAGCAGTTAGCGTAATGGCTATGTCGCTGGACTCTCACATAGTCGACTGCGGTTCGTGTCCCGGACCCGGTGGCTTAAAACTCACGCCGGGCGCGTGTGCGTGCCTGCCCAAGATCCCGAGAGAATGGAGGAGAAGGGATTGCGGCGTGACCATCCCCCCTGGGGGGTGATTTCTCGCTTTCTGTCTCTATGTCTCTCTCTGTCTGTCTGGCGAGCGCACGCGCCCTACAGTGAAAATCTCTCCAAAAAAAAAAAAAAAGAAGAGGATATATCACCTCAGGGGAAAGTTCAGAAAAAAGATTTGGATAAATACGTTTGATATTACATTGGTTGGTCTCTGAGACCTTCATGGTAACCAACCTGATGTGATTTTAAAATACAATGAAGACAAAGCCAGAAGTCTAATAGTATATGACGAATTTCCTGAGCATTCTAAAAATGAAACTAAAACATTTGATTGTGGAGATGATGAAATTCAGTTTTATGACATTGGGTATGATGAAGACATTGATGATATCTGAAGGTTGTTCTGCAGTTTGGATTTTGGCCATGACCCTTTTTAAAAATATAAATTTCATTAGTAAGAATGCAATTTGTTAAAGCAAACTGATTTGTTTCTTAGGTATTTGTGTTGCTTTAAAAGCTGATAATACTGAATGATTTTAAGTGATTTTTTTTTTAAGTGAGATTTTTGGTATAGGGCATGTGCATTCACTGGAAATACAAAGTCAGGAATCACTGCCGGGGTTGGGGGTGGGGGGATGGCCACATCAGTCCTTTCTTTATTCTCCTCTTGGGATTTTGGGCATGCATACACATGTGCCTGGCATGAGTTTCAAGCTTCTGGGTCTGGGGGACTTGAACCACAGTTGTCCATGTGGTTGTCCAACAATTTAACCACTATGTCCCCTGCTGACCCTTACTTAAGTGATATCTTATACCAACTTTGTTCTTTTAACATATTGGAACTTATGAATAGAAGTTTATATCTAATGTTTAAAACAAAAGAATGCATTATTGCCTTTACTACCTTGACCACTTTTAACTTACAGTAAGTAAATGGATATTTTGAATAAACCACTTGCTTTGTATTCATTATGGGCTAAGATTATTAATCCTTGTTGAATGTACAGAGTCCCTCTGAAAATTGGTTACCTAGATGTTCCTTTGATTTTTGTGGATTTTGAAAGATATAGAAACCTGGGTTCGAAGTAAAAAATGATAGGTCTGTTTTTAACTAGTATGTGACATATTTTTATAGCAATTTTGATATTATGTACATTTTTGTTATTTTGCCCACATATAAATATCAAGAAAAAAATCTCCAAAATGTAGTTTTTAGATCCTGGATTTTAATAGAAATTGTGAATGTATAGTAGTTTCAGAAATTCAACAATGCATGGCACTCAGTTACATCAACATTGGAAATACTGATGTAGTTGGCTTATTTTTAAACTTTGCACAGGAAATTTCACCAAATGAATAGTTTGTTTTGATCATGTATATGTACATAGAATATTTTTACAGAAGAATAAGATTGTGTTAAAAGTGTTAGTTTATTTTCAGAAGTCATACATATAAACAATAATTTTGAATGACTTATGAGCACTTAAATATATATATAACTGGAATTTTATCTTTATAACTTGTACAAACTAAGCCTTTTTCAACCTGTCCCTAAATTAGGGAAGTAAATTAGAACAATTTATTGAAAAGATGGTTTCCAATTTCTTTTTTGGGGGGCGATTTTTGCTGTAGGGTGTTCACGTTCGACAGAAAGACAGAGAGACAGAAAGCATGAAATCACCTCCCAGGGGGGATGGCCATGCCGCAATCCCCTCTCCATTCTCCTCTTGGGATCTTGGGCACACAAGCACATTCGCCCAGTGTGAGTTTAAGCCACTGGGTCCAGGACTCAAACCTCGGTTGACTACATGGGAATTCGGTAACATGGTCATTACACCAACTGCTGTTTCCAGTCTCCAATTTTTGAATGAAAGAACTATGGCTGAGAAATAAAGGCAACATCATGCTACAGAGCATGTTATATCCTTTTATTGTGTATGTCAAGTGGACTTACTGTTTTATATTGTGTATCTTGGGAATTTGCGTTTACCCCTCTGTTTATAGTTGTCAACTCTAATAAAATAAAAGTTGGACCCTAGACTTCACTAGCCAGATTTTTAAAAGATAGCCATCATATAGCTTATGAAGCATTTATTCTCTTGATATGAAGAGAACTTCTTGGAGGTTTTTGTTTTGTTTTATGTTTGTTTTTTGCCTTAGGGTACATAGGCTTGCTGGAGAGAGAGCAGTGAAAGTGAAAGTGAGAAATCACCACCCAGGGGGGCGACCATGCAGCAGTCCCTTCATTCTCCTAAGATCTTGGACACGCACACCCATGCAACCAGTATGAGTTTCAAGCCAGTGGGACTTGAACCACAGTCAGCCATGCGGGATTCCAGAATGCTACACCATCTGCTGGCCCTGGAGTATATATTTTTTTTAAGTTATTTTCTTATAATTATTTTTCATTTGCTATAGACCATGTGTGCTCACCATAGAGAGAAGGAAAGTGAGAAAGGAAGCCACCACCTAGGTCCAGGACTTGAACCACAGTCCGCCATTGGTAGTCCAGGGGTTTAACCACCAAGCCACCTGCTGGCCCATTCCAGAGATATTTATGGTGATGTAAATAAACAGAGGAAGAAACCTTCATATGGCCTCAAAACCAAGGAGATTTTCTCTAATCCCACCCTTACTATAATTTCCTTTCTTAAATGTGAAAACTCGGGATTGAAAATATGAAGCACCCTAAAGCATAAAAATGAAGAATTTAAGAATATGTAATTATGGTCTATGTTTCTAATTCTGTGGTATTTCTGCATATATGTCTGTAAGGAATGCATTCAAAGTGGAGGGCTGTTTATGAATTCTGAAAAGGAACCAGCCTTGGGAACCAGCAGTTAGCGTAATGGCTATGTCGCTGGACTCCCACGTAGTTGACCGCGGTTCGCGTCCCGGACCCGGTGGCTTAAAACTCACACCCGGTGCGTGTGCGTGCGTGCCCAAGATCCCGAGAGGAGAATGGAGGAGAAGGGATTGCAGCGTGACCATCCCCCCTGGGGGGTGATTTCTCACTTTCTGTCTCTCTGTCTCTGTCTGTCTGGCGAGCGCATGCGCCCTATAGCAAAAAACCTCTCAAAAAAAAAAAAGGAACCAGCCTTGAAAAGTTGACTTAGCCATTCTCTTAATTAGTAATTTAAACCTACAATATTTAGCCTCCTGTACATGAAAATGTTCTGCTAAATAGATGGTGTATATATACATCCTTGCATGTTATTTTACCAAAAATGTTGCAGCTCTGCATATTTAATACATTTCCTGGTAGAGCTAGTGCAATTCAGATATTAGTTTACCTGCCTACCTCAACGTTTGTCTAATGAGCATTTGAAATTATATCTTTGAGTTCAACTTAAGTATTTGCTGGTGATATATTTTTTCTTGCCTAGGTTATAAAATAGTAATCTAGTGTTTGCTATTGAATCTGAGAAATTCTCAAATTACAATGATTAAAGTATTTCGGCAGTGTTGTAGCTCATATGCAACACTACCTATAGGAATTATTTTACTAATTTGTATTTAATGTGGTAATTGTGTATTTTATATTTCAAATAAGGAATGGAAGTGGTCCTCAAGAAAAGTAGGGGGGTTTTTTTGTTTGTTTTTTTTTAGTTTTTTTTTTTTTTTTTGGGGGGGTTTTTCACTATCACTATAGGGCGCGTGTGCTCACCAGACAGAGAGAGACATCAGACAGACAGAGAGACATAGAGACAGAAAGCGAGAAATCACCCCCCAGGGGGGATGGTCATGCCACAATCCTTCTCCATTCTCCTCTCGGGATCTTGGGCACGCATGCACACACACCCGGCATGAGTTCTAAGCCACCGGGTCCAGGACGCGAACCGCGGTCGACTACATGGGAGTCCAGCGACATAGCCATTACACTAACTGCTGGTTCCCCAGAAAAGTAGGATTTTTAGGGGAAGTGATGTCTTGTTTTTTGGTTATATGAATTGATTTCTATGATAAAATGTTATAAGCTATGCCCAGATAAAAAGCATACTGTTTGAAAAAAATAGACTTGCTGAATGTATTTTTTTAATACCTTCTGTATGCTGCTTACAAGAGACTCACCTCACTGATAAAGACTAGAGCGTAAGTAAAATGCAATAGAGAATAAAAGAACTATTCAGAAAATGAAACCAAAAGTTGGTCTTCTGAGGGAATAAACAAAATGTACACACTGTTCTCTAGACTAATCAAGAACAGAAATGAACCAAATAAGTAAAAATCAGTAATGAATGTTACAACACTTATAGCAGAAATAAAAAAGATCATGATAGAAAACAATGAGTGACTGTACACTAACAAACAAGAAAGCCTAGATAATATGAACAAATTTCTGGATACATGTAATTTATTAATGTATTAATAATTAATTAATGTATTGATTATTAGTTAATTAATTATTAATTTCTGTATATGTGTAATTAATGTATTGATTATTTATTAATTATTATTAATATTGAACAAGAAAAATGGAAAACTTGAATAGACCAATAACAAGTAATGAAATTGAATCACTAACAAATAGTCTCCCAATAAAGAAAATTGAAGTTATCAGTGACTTCCCTTCTCAATTCTAAACCTATATAAAAGAATGCCGGGGACCAGCCTCTGCAGGGGTGGGTTGGCTCGATGGAGGCGACGCTGGAAGGAAAGAAAAGAAAGACAAAGGCCTCGTGCTTTTGTCTAAGCCAGACACTCCTCTAAGATCACTCTCTGAGGAGTGACAACTGCTAGGAATCACCGTGCCTTTTTATTGAAAATGGGATACATGCAAGTAAATGGGAGAGGGGCTACGTGTTCTAATTATCAATTCATACAGTTTTAACAATAGAGATCAAAGATTCTATTCAAGGTTTGATTAAGGGCAGGTCGATACAATTCAACAATAGATTGATGTAAGCAAGCTTTTGGGAACTTCTGTTCTGGGAGCGTGGTTTCGGAGAACAGCTCCAGCAAGCAGAGTTAATTATCAGCCAGTACTTGGCGGCAGCCATCTTGCAGTTACTGGTTGCATTGCTAGAAAAGAAAATCTCAAGTACAGATATTAGTTTTTATAAATCTCAATAAAGAATGATATTTATATAATTTTATAGAGATGTAAAATTAATTAAAGGAATCCTAATATATTTACCTAACCTGAAAGGGTGAAGTTAGTGTTCACTTGATGAGGGCGGGGATACAGCCCTTTCTACTGGTGGTGAAGTGACTAATGAGTTAATGGAAAACTTTGTGGCACACCTAGGCATTCTTATTGTGCTTGTGGCGCCACCGTCATGTACTTTGTCAGAACATTAGCTACAGTGAGGCAGAGGTGTCCTGGGTCAGTTTCTGCCTAAGAGGTAATTTTTAAGTTTATAAAAATATGTTTTGAAAGACCTTCCACAGATCA